CTTGCCTGCTAACCAGACGGCTGGCGGTTCAAACCCACCAGCCACTCCTCGGAAGGAAGGTTGGGCAATCCTACTTCCGTAGTGACACTGCCTCGGAAACCCAAGGAGGGGTCGCTATGAGTCGGGGCCGACTCGACGGCAAAAACAACAACAACAACAACCTGAGGTCTGTGCTGCTTTCTCACCGGAAACCATTGTTGGGGTTTAGTTGGCAATTCCTTTTCGTGAGGATCCATGGGCACTGCTGCTCGTGACAAATTTAACTAGAGCATTTTAATTGTTCATTGATCTTACTCACTTCTTTTCAAAAGCATCATCAGACAAGAACAGGAACTATGTAGCAATGGATCTTTGATTTGAGACGGGACCTGCTGTGTGAGTGCTGTGTGTGGAGATGGGCAGGGAGGCACGGTGGGTCGAGGAGTGCCCCTTGCCTCGCTGGTTGGTGTTCATGCGTGTCTGCTCTGTGGCAGTATTTCAGTAGGTGCATGGCTGTTTTGTTGTATTGTAAAGTGATGCATGTATGTCAGTTTATCAGATTTCCAGTCGTTCTTCATGGTTTTTTAACAAAGGCACAAGTAGGGTCATCCTCTGTCCTCTGTATGTTGCATAATTACAGACTCGTATGTTTTAGTGAACTGTTAGAGAATGCATTAGTTACCCTGACAGGTGTGTTTCTGAATGAGGAAACAGCTTTCATGTGGTGGACGTCTCGGAAACTTTTGCCTAGCCTTGTTGGTTCAAGTTTCTTGTGTTGCGGTGTAACCCAGCAGGGTGTTTATCATCACCCCATCCTGTGCCCCTCAGTGTCTCCCAGACACGTTTACACGGAGTAGTCATGTCCTCAGAAGCTTTGGGCTTTTGAGGAGCAGCGACTCAGGTGTCAACCCTTCCCAGCTACTGTTCGCTTTCATTCTCTTCTCTTACAGTGTCTGCAGTCCTCCATCCTGGCTCTGCTTCCGGCAGTCCCTGCTGCCACACCGCTACCATCTCCCTTCCTCTTCTTCCCTCTTGACTTGTCCTTGGCATCTGTGCATGGTGTTTCTTTGTGGCTAACAACCACCAGTCTAAACTCTTCACTTAACCAGTACTTGTTCCAAGGATTGTACCTCTGAGTATAGTACCTGCCCCATTTCGTTGAATCCTCACTGTCACCTGTGAGGTGGGCACAATGATCAGTTTATAGAAGAAGAAACTGAGAATCAGAGTCATCTGTGAAAGACACAGATGGAATTCACTGTAGGCTTTTCTGGTTTCAGGCCTAACAAGCTCTTTATTTATACTTACAGTACATGTGCTGGGTCTCCAGCCAAAAAGTGTACCTCAGTGAGGAGCAAACATAAGGGCAGTCACATGCAAGTGTTGACTGATCGTGGATTCGTGCAAGAGTTGGAAACATGCTCTGAAAATTAGAGCACATTGTCAGTTTTTTTTGCACACTGAGATCTTTAAGAAAGACACTATCTAATTTATCAGCAAGCTCTTAACAAGAGGTAAAATTTGTTACCTTGAATTGGTTAGTCAGGTCATAAATGTCAGTGAACACATGAGTTAGACATGCTGTAATAATACTGAGTGACACTGACATTATTTGAAGTGTTACTTGGAATGATACAAGTAACTAAGGGATAGTCCACTCAAACAGGCTGGTGTTATGTATGATCACAGAAAGTACACTACATTTTTTTTATAGGAATTTTTCCTTTCAAGTGCCATTTTGATGATAATTCATATTTTATATCCTGAGATCATGTCTAAGAGGATGCTAAAATCCTGCTGTCTCTTTGTTGTAATGTAATTATAGTGTTATTGAAAGTCATAAGGAAAAATCACAGATGTGTTATTAAAGTTGCTGAACTTACTAGGAATAAACCCAGTACATTATAGATTTTCATATGCAAATAAAAAAAGCCAACTTTTAGGAAGTTGTTTTCCTACCTTGAACTGAGTATGTTTTTTCAAGCCACGTAATCACAAGTACTTAGATCTTAGGTACACACATGGCCAGGGACAGCTTACCTATAGATAGTTGTGTGTATTCCTTTAAGCCATGGTGGTCTTGTTGTTTTGTTTTAAGATTTTATGTTTTAGAGAAGTGTTAGGTTATAGAAAAATTGAGCAGAAAGTATAGTTCCCATTTACCCCCTCTTCCCCTGCCCACCAAAAAACCTAAAACCAATCTCACTGCCATTGAGTCGGATCTGACTCATAGCCACTGCTCCTTGAGTTTCCTAGGCAATATCTCTATGGAAGTAGATTGCCCAGTCTTCCTTCCGAGGAGTGGCTGATGGGTTTGAACTGGCAGCTTTCTGGTTAGCGGTCAGATGCCTTAGGCACTACTCCACACAGTCTCTCCTATTATTGATATCCTGTACTTTTGTGGTGCATCTGTTATAATTGATGACCCAGTATTGATACATAATTAGTAACCATAGTCCACAGTTGCCACGAGGACTCCCTCTTTGTGTTGCACAGTCCTGCGGGTTTTGACAAATGCATGATGTCATGTGTCTACTCCTATGGTTTCACTGCCCTAAAAATGCCTTGTGCTCCACCTTTCCACCCCTCCCCCTCTCCCTAAAGCCCTGGCAGCCACTGATCATTTCTCTGTCTAGAATTATACTCACTCAGAAACCCACTGCCATCGAGTCAATTCTGGCTCATAGCGACGCCCCAGGGTTTCTAAGGCTGTCAATTTTTATGGAAGCAGACTGCTCATGTTTCTTCATAGAGCAGCTGGTGAGTTCAAACCACCGACCTTTTAGTTAGCAGCCCACTGCCTTAACCTCTGTACTGCCAAACCTCCCTTGGAATCATACAATATGAATTTTTTTCAGACTGGCTTCTTTCACTTGTTGTTGCCCTCCTTGGGTTTCCGAGGTGGTATCACTGCGGAGGTTGATTGCCCAGCCTTCCCTCCGAGGAGTGGCTGGTGGGCTTGCACCGCCAGTTCTTTAACGTAGCAGTATGCACTGAGGTTCCTCCAGGTCTTTTCAGCTTTTATTTTTAATTGCTGAATAACTCTATTGTACGGACAGCCGTTGAAGTACGTGTTGGTTGCTTCCAATTTTTGGCAATTATGAATAAAGCCACTATAAATATCCTTAGGTAGGCTTTATGGGGATACCCCTTCTCATCTCACTTGTGTAAGTCCCTAGGCACATGATTGCAGTTTTAGCCTACATGTAACTTTGTAAGAAACTTCCATACTGTCTTCCCAAGTGGCTGAGCTGTTTTGCATTTCTGGCAGCAATGAAGGAGACTTCCTGTTGCTCGACATCCTCACCAGCGTTTGGTGTTGTCAGTGTTTTAGAGTCATTCTAGTAGGGAAGTGTTCTGTAAACACTTGAGGCTTTGCGGACTGTGCAGTCTCCGTCACAGCTACTCAGCTCTGCCCTTGTAGCACCAAAGCAGCCACAGACAATATGTTGTTTTTAAACATTTTTGTCCCATAAATGCTGATGAGCAGTTATGTGTGGAACAAAGGTTTGGGAAGGGACTTGCCTCCCAACCAGCCTCTATTCCCTTGTAAGGATGCACCCATGTTCTTGTGGCTGTGATGAGTCCACAGGGTTTTCCGTTGGGCCACTTCTGCCGCCCGTCCTCTGCAAGCTGTGATGGGGTGCGCTCTCCAGGTAGGTCAGTGGGGAGGAAGGAGACTCACCTCGTCTCAGTCCCACATGAAGAAGATTCCCAAGGCATCAGGCTTGTAGCTGCTGTCTTGTCATACATCTTTCTCTGATATTTTTCTGCTGTGCTTTTCTCTAATTGATACACATTTAGAATTTCATCCATTTTCAAATCTAACTAACATCTCTTTGTTTCTGCCATTTTTGCTTCTTAACCAACTAGAAATTTCTGTGGAATATTTCTGTATGACTTGCTTTTTTAAGCAGTTGCAAAACTTGGAAACTACTGTGACTCTATCCCTGGACAGATTTTAATAGTCCTTTTAATGGTCCTGTGACCCTAGTGAGTAAGCTGTCCTGTCGTTATATTTGTAGATAAAGCTTTTAGTTAGAAACGATCTCACATATGTAGGATTTCTGTGGTGATGTCATCCCTGCTGGGGCAGTGGTCGTGCGTCAGCTGCCGATGGATGAAGGGTCTGCAGTTGGAACCCACCTGCTGCTCCCCCAAGAGGCCTGGTGATCTGTTCTCGTAAAGACTTCAGTCTGAGAAACCCCGTGGGCAGTTGTGCTCTGTCCCGTAGGCTCACTGTGAGTCAGAATCAACTCAGTGGCACACAACCACAGATCTCTAAGTAAAAGGTCACCTTGATACTGTTTCTTAATTAACTTGTGTAATAAAAAGTTAGACCTTAGTAGGAAAAACTTTTATTTTTCAAATAAAATTTTCAAATGAAAATAGGGTATTAGATTAACTGTTGTTTAATTTCTCTTCATAGAGGTATTGAATGGACAAGTTTGACTGGTTTTCTTTCTTTTGCTACCTCAACACCAAACAATATGGGATTAGTGAGAAATGAACTTCAGCTGGTTGATCTTCCAACAGGTTTGTGTATTTAGACCTGTAAGAGAGTTTAAACGTAGTCTGTCATATTGGTGAAAGATGCTACCATGTATAAAACATGCTCCAAAGTGCTTTCTTCCACCTGGGAATTTTTTCTTGTATTTGCTATTTATTTGTTCATTTTCTTATTCTATACTAATTGCCCTAGAAAAGTCTCATCCTTGTTTGTATGGAAATTTTGTTTAAAAAAAAAAAAGTCTAT